TTTTCGTAACATTTTTATAAGCTTATTAATTCAATTAAAATAATATTTTTTTTTTGTTTCATACATATTTTTTATTTTTCATTACTTTATTGATATTTTTCAATTATACTTTTTACAATTTTGCACATTTCTATATTTTACGTATTAGTCTATTATTGGTACCTAAATGGACTTGTTTATACTTTTTATGAACTCGTCCTCCCTCAATCCTATAGAAAATAAAAAAGCACATTGTTTTATTATGTGGCATCTTTTATATATTAATTAAATTACCTTTTTTAAACACAAATTTTATATTACTTTATTTTATAAAATTACACTCTTAAACACTTAAAAACACTGCCTTTGCCAAACTAAACAAGAAGACTGAAATGAAGAAGAATAATAATAAGAAAAACACGCAATAAAATAACGGGATATCTTATACGAAAACAATTACAAAACTATTGTGATCATTAGTCTTTTACAATCACATTTGTCAAACTTGTTATCCTAACTAAGTGTGCAGCAAGTATTATTGCAAATATTGTTGCTATACGAAGCATTTTTTAAGCATTATTTTAAAAGTATTCATAATTTCCATTAAAATAAACCTATCATAAGTACACAGAAAAAATTAATTTTAAAAAATTTTCAATTAAACGATTAATCAAAAATTTTAAATGGGTTCAATTCATTTTGTATTTGATTCATAAAAATGTATAATCAAATACGTATTTAACAACAACAAAAATAGAAAAAAATAAAAATTTTGTGTACGAAATCAATTATAAGTAGTAATTGAATATACAATTTTTGTTAAAGGTTGAACTTCAAAAAATAAAATAATTGAAAACGAGGTTTTGGTAATTAAAATCGTTTTTCAGTTTTTTCTGTGTATCCTTATGAAATGTTGTAGAAAATTCTTTATTATAAGTTTATTTTAAAATGTAGTTATATTTTGATTATGGCTTGGTTTGTTGGGTAGGGCGCTATAAAAATATAAACGAATATGGCGTTTGTAATGTTCAATAAATCTTGCAATTGTAACAGATTTAAGCTGTCTAACTCTTGGGGTTTTTCTATTTAAGACATGAGAAAACTTATTTCTACAAATATTTGATCAATTAAAACAGTATTAATATACTTTTATATTTAGCTGTTGGAGGGTATTTAAGATTCGGCTCAGCCGAATATAGCACTCTAACTTGTTTAATTTAAGATATATTGACAGTTCTCATAGAAAATTTGTCTTAACTGGAAGAATAAGAATAGTTAAACGTTAACTAGAGGTGGTGAAAATGGGGGTAAAGTTTATAACAGTTTTTAAAATACCTGAATAGTGACATCCGAAACAAGATTTATGGGACCCAAAATCTATTTACAACAATTTATGAGGATAGGACAATGTTTGAACCTACCCACAACGATTTTAAAGAGCACAACTTGCTTAAAATAGCAGTTTAGCGATGCAATTCAACGTTAACAAGTTTTATAGAAACCAAAATTTCTTTACTAACTACTATGAAATTCGGTCCATAATTTACGCTATTCTCTATATCATCCCTCTTAAAAAATCAGTTTTTTGGTAATATTTACTTGTTTTATTTTATTTTAAAAAGTATTCCATGATTTCTTACTCAATCGAATCGATTTTACAAACTACAACTATTTTCTAGACGTTGATGTAGAAAATGTTTGATATTTCTTTTTACATGACTAATTAATGCGTTTATCATAGCAAATATAATATTTACTATTTCTTTTTATTTCTTTAAAAAAAAACAGAACTAAAGTACCGTTTTATTTTTCTTTTGTATGTATACAATATGAAAAGATGAATCTTTTCGTTTCAGTTTAAAGTTGATCTTTTGTAAGTGAAGTTGTGTTTTGTTAAAAAAGTTATTTTATTGTAAAAATTTAAAATAATTGTGGTCATCTAAATGGCAGAAACGGATTTAAAAATTGGGGTTAATTTACTTCATACATTCTAGTTTTAATACTGACAATTTCCTCTTGTTTGTTTACAGGATCTGTAAAGGAAGGTGGCCGAAAGTTTCAAAAGAAAATAAAAATTCATTTCATTTAACTTCATTAAAATTGTTTAATTATATGATGATAATTTTTAAATAAACTTGCATCATTTTAAAATAAATATAAAAATATATATTTTTTTTCTATAACAAAATCGGAAGACATGGTACTTTAACTTACAAATACAAATAGGATTGTAATCTACATACATTACATTCTTATTTGCGAGCGTTTATAGGCGTCTCAATAACTTCGCTTAGAACTCCACACATTATGTAAGTGAAATTTTAATTTCCCAGCAAAAAAAAGCGAGGAAAAAGAAGTAGAATTTTCACCACAAATAACATACTTGAAGTACTTCCAATTTTGGTGAAAAACCTATGAATTTTACATTAGCGTGTCATTGGAGGGATGTTGTTAGGGTTGCCAGACTGGCTGGACTTGGCTGGATTGTCCAGCTTTTTTGATGCTTGTCCAGTTTCAAGCTAAAATTTAATTTGTCCAGCTAAATAGAATTTTTTTAGCACACTGCAATAATTTTTATGTACATTTTATGTTCATTTGATTGTACATTTGTTATACAACTAAGTTATGATTTCCCTCTTCTATCATCATGTCTCAACACTTGAACAGCTGATGTCGTAATAAATATTAGGTCTGTTCGCGTACTCGATAATTTGTAACAATTTGCAACAATTGTTACTGGATTCCGTTCGCGTTCGAGCGAATTATTAACAGTTCGTTGATAGAGAATTTTTTGATTTTACTATATATTTTTTCCCCAGTAAAAAATATCCAACTTATATTCACAACATATGTTTGTTTTATGAATATGTAAACAAACCAAAGAAATCGAAAATTTGGTAAATTTTAAGTTTTTTGAAAGAAATATATAAATTAATAACACGCGAATTTTAAAAAATTATTTGTAATTAGATTTATTTTAATTTTATTTATCATAAATTAGTTTTTAAAAGAGTTTATTTGTTGTGAAAAATCATAACAAATATTGTCAATCTGGCGTTTTTAAACCAATTTAGTTTGTCTTTCTCTTAGCGATTTTGTGTAAATTTTTATTTTAATATGTTTGTATCATAAAGTTTTAAAACAATAATATATTTTTAATGATACTACATATTTTGTTAACTTTAAATATCCATTTATTTATAAGAAAAATCAAAGTTTCAATTATTTGTTTTTTTGAGATTTCAGCAAAAGGGCATTACTAATCTTTGTTTATAAACAAAAACTTGCACATTTTTTAAAAAATTGGCTCTCTATCATAAAGTTACTGGATATTTCTTACAGGAAAGTACGCGAAAAGACATATTATTGCGAGCGATAGTCAATTTCCTTACGTACAGCTTACGTACTTATGATTTTTAAAATTTAAAACTTCAAAAATGGAGCTTTTTCACATCTTTTGCTCTTAAAAACTAAGTTAACGAAGTGATCAGGGGAAAACTAAAAATATATTCGTACTATATGGACTATAACAAAACGGAATTGGTATATGAGAACCCCTGCATTTTTTTGGTGTCTCACTGTGAAATTATTTACACAAAACCAAAATTAACATTTTCTCGGTATTTTTTTATGTCCAGCTTTTTTTGTTTTGTCCAGCTTTTTAAAACCCGATGTCCAGCTTTTGCGAATCGGAATCTGGCAACCCTAGATGTTGTTCATTTTTGACAACTTTGAACTACATCTAATCTTATTCATAGATGCAGTAAAAATCCGATATTTGGATGTCAAAAATAAACCACATTCTTTCAATGACACGCTTATGTAAATTTCATTGGTTTTTCACCAAAAATTGATGTACTTCGAATATGTTATTTGTAGTGACTTTTCAACATCTCTTTCCTCACTTTTAACTCGGTTTTTATTTGTAAGGAAATATTTAGTTTATAGAAGCGAAAAATATGCAATCACATTTTTAGATGTGATTAAGATGTCGTTTGTAAAGTATGACATCAATTATTTTTTGCTGGGTTGTCTTAATGATACTGTGGCTCACATTCTAAGCGATATCACATCGATGAGGCAACGTAGGACACTTTTATGTTAAATCTAAGTGGAAGAATAAGTGAAAACATCACCACTGACTGCCACGAAATATCTCTTAGATAAGCGAGTACATAATGTGTATTTTTACCGCTGGGATTCTGCATTAAAATCTCAATTTCTATAAGAAGTGGACTTGTTACGTTAAGGGCCCTTCTGACGATCACACTTTACACTTTACGTACGACAAGTCTAATGAAAAAGTAAAATAAAATTCGATCCGTATGACAAAAAAGAGATTAAAAGTCATATGATTTATATATTTTGTGTTTACACGATTAGTATAAAACAACAACAAAGTAAGATGGAAACAGCTGTTTACCTTTTTGTATGTGTTTACATAAAAATACATCCCTGATCTAATGCGACTTGCTTGTTTTTTTAATCATTTCAAAAAATGGAAGAGAGCCATACGACTGTCAGATTGTCCATCCGTATTTTCTCTCAATATGTGATGATTTCATTACATATTGCGTTTAGACGATCCCATCCGTACTCTTCTACACGAAATTTTGGCTAACGAATTGTTAATGCTGTTTTGTTCAATTTGAAAATTCTATTTTCCAACCCTGTTTAATTATATATACTAAAATGGCATATTCTTATGGATTTAAAAACGCTAAACAGGCATTACTCTTCGTCGCCGCCAACGTTTATAAAATGCGACGGCGTTCGTTTACTTTATGTATGACTTTTATCTTCTAGATTGTAAACAAATAAAGGTAGTTTATCAGAGACTTGCGCCGATTCAGCTTAAGCCGACTAAGCCTAGCCGCCGAACGAAATGTCAAAGCCGCCGTCGCCAAAAATTTTTCAGCTTAATACGGCTTGAAAATTTCGCCATATTTTGTACAATTTACAGAATACTTTCGCTAAATTTGTGGAATTTTACAATATAAAATTAATTTGTTTTCATTTAAGCAAGTTTTCTTTTATTTAATAATAAGCCGCTCATTGAAATTTGGCCGGTGTAGAACTTTGCTAAACGTTCGATGTATATGCTTCGCCTCAGATATTTCGTGTTTTCGCGCCCAATTCGGGTCGCTGCTTTGACTTCAAACCAGCTTCGTTGACGTCAACGGAGCTACACCTTTTTACATTGCTGGTATGTCATACCGTAAAGGGCTAGGGTATCGAACATGTGTATTTCAAATGGGAAGTGCAGTTGATGTCAATTCTGCCGACTGCGAAAAGAAATTCTGCTAGAATTTTTCGCGCCAAACTGTTTTCTGCATTTTTTATTTGCCAAAAAAAATCTGTTGTTGTGTGTGTGCGAAAATCTAAAATGACAGAAATGATATTCTTTAAATAAAAAAATATTTTTTTACTAAAAATTAATAAGATTGTATGCTATACTACTATACCGAGGGTCATTGTACAAAGAAACAGCAAGTGTTGGGTTGAATTTAGTGAAATTGTTAATAATTATATGGGTTTGTTTGTTGCAGTGCTCCTTAATTATACCCCCTTGACACTACTCCTATGGGGATTTGAAAAAAAAATTTTGCGTGGGGGTACCTACAATGTGCCTTTTTGAGGGGGTACAATATCTGCTGCCCAGCAGTCCTGACTGCCTTGCTCGTGGGCGTACCCTAATAATTTCATGTTGCTTGTTAGTAAACTAAGGTTAGTAGTTTTTATTTTGTTTAAGTTAGTTTATTAGTTTCTAACTACAGAGATGTAATTTGGCTCATTGGCCTATTTGATTAGGGTTCCACCATAAGAGTATGCGAGTGGTCAGCTCGCAGTGGAAACACCAACCTGGGAAGGGCCTAGAGTCATGTGGTGGAGTTAAGCCACAACCTTTCCCAAACTCAAATAGCTGAAAGAAAGAAGAAAAGAAACAAATTAGTATTAGAAATCTTGTGATAATGAAACGATACAGTTTTACCAGTATTCCTGAAACGAAAAAAAAAAACTTAATATCTAAAAATTACAATGATTTCAATAAATACTTACCTCAGTTTACATGTTGTCTGCTTCTTTGTTTTAATTAATTAATGCAATTTGTGTCAAGTTCTCACATGTATTGAATTCGCCTCGAACATCTGTAGTAAAAAGGGTTGCCAGATGTGAGATTATGAGAGTGGTCAGACACAGTGTGAGAGAAATGTGTACGTAGGATTTTATGAATGAATATGAATGTTGATAGTTCGTTAAGTTCAAATAAAGCTATTCAATGTTTAGATACAAATTGTGGAAGAATTAGAAAAGGATGGTTGTGTTATGAAATGTCAGAATGTGATGACTATAGGATTTAAAGGAGCATAAATATAATAGGCCCAATTGGAATAGAAATTCTTGGAACCTATAGAGTATAAATATAAGTTTCTGCTCGGCCATCTTAAAGAGATAGAAGAAAATAAGCAGCCCAGACGGTATACATATATATTTTTTCAAATTTAAACAAAATAATATAAACAAAAAAGTGCAATTTAAATAACAAAAATACAAAAAAAAAATATAAGAACGAAGATTTAAAGTTATCTATTTGAAATAAACTTATCGAAGAATAAAAGGTAATATAGAGTGTCTTAGCCTAATTAATATTAGTGTGCTGATTAAGTTTATTACTTATAGCAGTTTCGATTCTGTGATAGGAAACTAAGGAAATCCCTGCAATACTTAATCAACATAAGGCAATTAAACTTCTTAGTCCCCCAGAACTGGAGCAGGGCCAGAACAAAATACGGGGACTACAAAATTTTTTTTTGGGAGAAGGCACAAAGCTCAACAACTGCCCAACAAATTATATTTGAATAAATTATTACATCATCAACGGAAAAACCATTCGGAACAGGGAAGTGCTTACTGTTAAGAAAAACAACAGAATAGTCTTTTATCTCTAATTAGTTTGATATCCCTAATATATAAGTCTTATTTAACATCTCTAGTTTAAGTTTGTTAGTTTTAGTTATATTTTTTTTTATTTTGTTTTTTTTTTTGTGTGTTAATACTATTTATTAGGCATCCTTGATCTTCGATAAATACCTTACGTTTCGTACATAACATTTGTTAAACATCTCCCTGATAGTTTTCTCATCGAACCGAGTAGTGAAATTTTGAGCCAGGCTTAAAGTAGCCAGAAAAAAAAATCGTTTAAGTGAGCTCTCTTAGGCTGATAGTAGTGTTGTATAAATGAGTGAATTCCCAAACCAATTGTTGGGGCATAATTAGATGAGGAAACCAATATACATATAAAGGGAATTTATTTGTTTTATAACTTGTAATTTTGTGTCCGTTTTAGTTTGGTATTTGTTGAGGCAGGGAAATATTATTGAGGAATCAGAGTTGCCATTTATTTTTGTAATAGATATAAAAGCTAAATTTGTTTTTTTTTATAGAGTTTTGTATAATTTGTTCAGGTTTTATATCCTAAGCAATAGTTATAATAAATATGTTATGAATTAAGTGAATTAGAAAAAAGAGAAAAATGCTGGAATAATCTCATTTAACAGAGTGGTTTATTAAAGGTAAGTGGTGTGGTAAAGGATTTTGAAGGGATCCCCGTAAATGTTATAGGTATGGGAGATTATGGAAGGGATAGGGCAGAATGGAGTGAACATCTAACTCCACTTCATAGGTGTTTCATTTGATATTAGTGAACAGATTCATAGAACATTTATTGTGACAGTTCTTTGGGCCATGACGAAGGGAGGTTCTCACACCGAGAGTAAGAATCATGTACGTGAGCTGGTCGGCACCTAATTCGTTATGGTGCTTTTGGGGACTCGTAACAATATGGCGCCCAAACGGAAAGCAATATCCTTAAATAGTAAGAATAGTGTGTAGCGACATCAAAACACATAGCAATAGACCAATAGTTTAAAATCACAATAGCCAATGAATATTACCATAAATCTCGAAGGAAATTAATTTCAATAATTTTAAGTAACCATTTTGGAGAATTGGAAAATCCAAAAGTTTGTTGTACTTAAAGGTTGAGAATGGTTCCTGCGGCATATAAGTAAATTCTTGATTTTCAGAGTGGTAAATAAAGTTCATAATAGTTGCACAAATTAAAGCCAACTTTATTCGTACAAATTACCACTAAAATTCTTCTTAAGAAAAGTTATTTTTGTTTTAGTTTGTCACCACAATGAACCTAATCTGATAGCCCCTCAGGATAAATATCCTGAAGTGAAGTACCAGAATAATTTCTTTGTGATCCTTTGAAAGTCTATACATTAAGACTTGTCAATGTTCAAACTTTAAAGTTCATAGTTTTTTTTTTAATGACTGGGAACACCTAAGTGAAGTAGATCTCGAAAGAGATATATATTAATGAGATATACACACCACTACCAACAATAACCACTCGCAAATTAAAATTCTGAAAGTAAATAAATATTGAATCTGAAACGATTTAGGAAATTTAAATAATTCTCTAAATTACTGGAAATTGTTTTGATTATTGTCATTAGGTATATACACATATATTTTTTTTAATTATAACGTGTAGTTTATTTTGTTTAGATTTTTTTTTCTTTGTTAGGAAATTTTTTAATTTTAGTAAATTAAGTAGTTTAAAAATTATTTTTTTGTTGCAAATTGCGTTAATTTCGGTTAGATATTTGTATACATACATTTCGTTATTGTTTTTTTAGTAATACTGTACAATATATATTTATATGTTTTTGGCGTTAGTTAATAGTCTACTTTTGTTTTGTATGCTGATAAGTTCAAGGCATGAATTTTAACACTAGAAATCAAACCAGAAGATACATTAGACAGAGTGAAATAGAATCGAGTACATCCATTAGAATACAAAATAATAGAAAACGGAATAGAAATCCAGATTTTGATTTGAATAGATCCACCATCCATACCGAACCTAAACAAAGAAAAACATATATAATGAATACATCAGGTAATCCGAATTCCAATGGGGGTACTGTATCGCAGATCACTGACCTTTCAGGAACAATAATAGCAGGAGCCCCGGGGGAGGCAGTAGTTTCAAATCCGGCAATTAATGTTGAGGGCAATGATGAGGGGTTGGCACCAGGTGTTAGAAACTTGGTCGTAGATGAAGCCATGATGGTACAAAGATCTCTAGAGGATAAAGTCCGGAAGATGGTGCAGGACGAGATGGTAGACATAAAAAAAAACATCGGTGATTTAGCCAAGGCTGTTGAGAATCTCTCCCGTGTGGTTGCCTCAAATCAAACGGGTAGTACTCCCAATAATTTTCCCATCAACAATAACCATATTCGCAATGTAGTAAACGGTCATAGTGCGGATGTCTACAATAACAATAGTAATTTGAATACAAACGTCAATGCAGAAAACACAAATATGCGCATACCTGATCGTTATTCATCTCGAACACCCAATCCTTCTGGTTTTAATTTCCAATTCTCTGCTAATCAGCCTGCAAATTGTCCATCGAGAAAGGAGAATAATGCCGGACCTGGAAATCAAGACATATTTGATTTCAGACAGATTAGAATTGATAAATTAGGTATTGTTTTTGATAACAAATCTATTAGTATTGATGATTTTATATTTAGATTGGAACATTTGAGAGCCCATTATAATATCCCCGAGAGAGAAGTTGTTCGTGATTTTCATTTATTAGTTTCAGATTCGGTAAAGGATTGGTATTGGGCTTTCATAGGAATGCATGGAATGACAGAATGGCCAGTTCTTCGCTTAGCCTTATTATCACAATATCAAAAACCAAGGTCAAATTTTGAAGTTATGAGAGATTTAGTGGAAAGAAAACAGGATAATTCTGAAACGATAGATGATTATTTTCATGTAATGAATAAGCTGAGGTCAAAATTGACACAGCCTATACCAGAATATGATATGATAAAAATTTTGAAACGAAACCTTAATCTAAATGTAGCGAGAATAGTTTACCCCATATCTGTGTCGTCAGTAGAGCAGTTGCGCATTGAGTGCAACGAAGCGGAAAGAAATTTCCCGAGAAAAGAATTTAGAAACTCTATGCCAACTACACGAACGTCTAGGCAAGTTAATGAACTATATTATGATGATGCTGAAGATAATGATGGCACAAATCGTCCTGAAATAGTTGACTTAGAGGCGTTGCACTTTGGGCAACAACAACAACAAAAGCAACCGGTAATTTGCTGGAATTGCAAAGCTTCTGGTCATGTATTCATGGAATGTCCAGTTGAGCAACGAGCTCTATTTTGTTATAAATGCGGAAAACCTAATGTTACTACGCCAAAATGCCCATTTTGTCAGCAAAAAAACTTGATGAACGGCGTGGGAACAACAGGGGACCTTCGTCACAGGGAGAACCCTGTAGCACCCAGAAACTAAGTGAATCTAGGAAAAAAGGCAACATAGTAGCACAAAATATTATCAATGCGAACGATAGTAAATACATACCACAAATGCGACATTATCTTCCTTTAGAAATTAGACTACAAAATTATGACAGAGTTAAGGCGAGAATTTTTGGACCGAAAATGGTGTCGGAACGAATATTGAAACTTCGCCGGAAATTTAAAGAGCGTAAACGAATCAGAAGATTTGTAGTAGATTCTGTAAAAAGAGCTGATAGAAATATGAATGATCCCAGAGTTTTTGTAGAAGTTAGGATAAAAGGTTCATTGAAGAAAGGATTATTGGATTCAGGAGCCTCCGTTAGTATTTTAGGAAAAGGTTGTAGAGAGTTTGTAGAGGAAAACGAAATCCACATATACCCAATGTTGACCAATGTGAAAACTGCCAGCGGTCAACAACATAGTATAATAGGAAAAGTAAAAATATTCATAACGTACAAAGAGCAACAACACGAAATGTTATTGTATCTTTGCCCGGAATTGGAACAAACTTTATACTTAGGAATAGATTTTTGGAGAGCATTTGGATTGGCTCCTGATGTTGTAGGAATAGATGAGCTAGATATTAGTAAATTACAGGAAGACTTTAGTGATTCCAAGAGGGAATATAGGATGAAACCACATGATCTGACAGTTGAGCAACAAGCAAATTTAGATAAAGTAGTAAAACTTTTCGATACTTTTGAGGAAAAGGGACTGGGACTTACATCAATGGAAGAGCATAGTATAAAATTAGTGGAAGGCGCTGTTCCAGTAAAGGATCGCTACTATCCTATATCCCCAGCTGTCCAAGAGATCACTTACGCAGAAATTGATAATATGTTGAGACTTAATGTAATTGAATTGAGCGATAGTCCGTGGAGTAATAGAACAACAGTAGTGAGAAAACCCGGAAAAAATCGTTTATGTTTAGATGCTAGGAAGTTAAATAAACTCACAATAAAGGACGCCTACCCATTACAAAATATAGACGGAATCTTGAGTAGGATAGACGAGACCTATTTTATAAGCAGCGTGGATCTCAAGTATGCCTTCTGGCAAATTAAACTCGATGATCAAAGCAAGCAATATACCGCATTTACCGTAGCTGGCCGCCCATTATATCAATTCAGAGTAATGCCATTCGGCTTATGTAATGCGGCTCAAAGACTGTGCAGGTTAATGGACAAGGTGATACCCCAGAGTTTAAAAGACAACGTATTCATATACTTGGACGATTTGTTGGTTATATCAAGTACTTTTGAGGAACATTTAAGATTGTTATCTGAGGTCGCGAATTGTCTCAAGGAAGCTAATCTCACTATTGGACTTAATAAATCTCAATTTTGTTTTCGGGAGCTTAAATATCTAGGTTTTATCGTAGGTGGTGGTATGTTAAAAACTGACCCCGGAAAGGTGGAAGCGATCAAAAACATTAAATTACCCAAGACTACAAGAGAGGTCAGAAGTTTTCTAGGTACCGCAGGGTGGTATAGGCGGTTTATACGCGACTTTGCTACTATTTCAGCCCCTTTGACTGACACATTAAAAAAGTCTAAGAAATTCGTTATGACTCCAGAGGCGGTCGAGGCTTTTGAAAAACTAAAAAGAGCGCTGACTTCGGCTCCGGTGCTGAGGCATCCAAACTTTTCGAAAAGATTTTATGTCCAATGTGACGCCTCTGATTATGGTGTAGGTGCAGTATTATTTCAGTTAAACGAAAAAGAAGAAGAGCATCCTATTGCATTTTACTCTCAGAAGCTGAATTCTTGTCAAAAGAATTACAGCGTTACAGAGAAAGAGTGTTTGGCAGCAGTGTTAGCTATTCGAAAATTCAGACCATATGTAGAAATGATGCCATTTACTGTCATAACAGATCACGCCAGCTTGAAATGGCTTATGACATTAAAAGATCTTAGTGGACGATTGGCAAGATGGTCTTTACAATTACAAGCTTATGATTTCGAGATAAAACACCGAAAGGGATCGGATAACGTTGTAGCTGACATGTTGTCTAGGGCACCGCGTGAAATGGTAGTGAATGAGATAAATAAGGATGAAATGCTAGATTTTGAGACCACAGAATTCGAAAGTGAAACATACCGGAATCTTATTACTGAAATTACAGAAAATATGGAAAAATTGCCTGATCTCAAGGTCATTGATGGCATGGTTTTCAAGAGAACTAAATATAATCAAGAACTTGGTGATGAATACAAATGGAAATTGTGGATTCCCGAGAACATAACCATGGCTATTGTAGAAAAAGCTCATGCTCCAAATAACGTAGCGCATGGAGGTATTACGAAAACTTTAGAAAGAGTGAAGAGGTATTTCTACTGGCCGAAGATGACTAGTCAGATAAAAACGTATGTTTCAAATTGTCAAATTTGCAAGGAGACTAAGCCTGCAAATCGCAATTTAATGCCAGGAATTGGGGAAGAAGTTGTAACAGAGAGACCATTCCAAAAACTTTACATAGATTTTCTCGGAAAGTATCCTAGGTCGAAAAATGGAAATTGTTTTATATTCATAGTAGTAGATCATTTTTCAAAATTTATATTTTTAAAGGCTATGAAAGAAGCGACCACAAATAACGTTATTCAGTTTCTGGTAACCGAGATCTTTCATAAATTCGGTGTTCCAGAAGTTATCCATAGCGATAATGGGGCCCAGTTTGTATCAAATCGTTTAGGAACATGATAGCAACATATAAAATTAACCATATAAAAACAGCCTTTTATGCCCCTCAATCTAATGCTTCAGAAAGGGTGAATCAATCGGTTTTGGCTGCAATTAGACAATATCTAGATGATGATCATAGAGATTGGGATTTATATTTATCTGAAATTGAATGTGCCTTAAGAACATCCATTCATTCTGCGACTGGTGTTTCCCCATTCTTCGCGCTATTTGGGTTTCACATGTTCTCGAGTGGCGCTGACTACAAATTAGCTCGAAAACTTTCGTCATTAAGCGATCATGAAATTCTAAATTTTGATAGGAATGAAAAACTCGAAATTATCCGGGAAAACATTAGGAAAAATATGCATGATGCCTATGAGAAATCTGCTAAAAGATATAACCAAAGGGCTAGAATTGTAAAGTTTATACCAGGTCAAGAAGTTTATAGACGGAACACGGTATTGAGTGACTTTAAGAAGAATATAAATGCAAAATTTTGCAAAAAGTTCATAAAATGCCGAATTTTGAAACCCATTGGTAATAACATGTATGAGTTAGAATCTATGAGTGGAAAACCGATAGGGGTGTTTCACGCAAAAGATATTAAAGTTTAAATGTGCAATAATATGGTTTTAGAAGCTGTGGTAGAATCTGTGATAAACAACGTGCAATATTAGGACATAGGAAACAATATATTTTTAATATTTATATAATAATTTTTTTTAGTGTTTTTCGTTTCGTCCTAATAATTGTAACAATATGTCCAAATTTTTATGTATAGATTCTAAAATTATGTTTTGCATTCATGTGTTTTGATTCATATACATGTACTTACCATAAAGTAGGGAACTTCGTGCAATAACAAATAGTATTAAGTTTGTTTGGCTTCAGAAAAGTCTCCTTGCCAGTGAAATCTATAAATTGGAAAACAAAACACCAAGTAACTTCATTATAGTAAATTCTATAATCTCAAATACTTCCCTAAAACAGTTGGAATCTATTAAGTAGCATCTACCTATTGAAAAGAACCCCTATTCATGGTTAAAAACAGCCAATCCGAACCGAATCTGAAAATAAAATGATGAAAATAACCATCAATTAATGGTCTACAGCGAACAACGTTAGATTTTTTTTGTATTAAAATTTATAAATGTAGGCCCGGCTGAGGATCTCAGGGTGTGGGAGTTCCCCACGTCAACTCATATGAGTTTCTCATATGGCACTGGCACACCGTTCTTATCTACGGAAATCTTGATAAGCCCGGAGTTTTGTTGCAGTGCTCCTTAATTATACCCCCTTGACACTACTCCTATGGGGATTTGAAAAAAAAATTTTGCGTGGGGGTACCTACAATGTGCCTTTTTGAGGGGGTACAATATCTGCTGCCCAGCAGTCCTGACTGCCTTGCTCGTGGGCGTACCCTAATAATTTCATGTTGCTTGTTAGTAAACTAAGGTTAGTAGTTTTTATTTTGTTTAAGTTAGTTTATTAGTTTCTAACTACAGAGATGTAATTTGGCTCATTGGCCTATTTGATTAGGGTTCCACCATAAGAGTATGCGAGTGGTCAGCTCGCAGTGGAAACACCAACCTGGGAAGGGCCTAGAGTCATGTGGTGGAGTTAAGCCACAACCTTTCCCAAACTCAAATAGCTGAAAGAAAGAAGAAAAGAAACAAATTAGTATTAGAAATCTTGTGATAATGAAACGATACAGTTTTACCAGTATTCCTGAAACGAAAAAAAAAAACTTAATATCTAAAAATTACAATGATTTCAATAAATACTTACCTCAGTTTACATGTTGTCTGCTTCTTTGTTTTAATTAATTAATGCAATTTGTGTCAAGTTCTCACATGTATTGAATTCGCCTCGAACATCTGTAGTAAAAAGGGTTGCCAGATGTGAGATTATGAGAGTGGTCAGACACAGTGTGAGAGAAATGTGTACGTAGGATTTTATGAATGAATATGAATGTTGATAGTTCGTTAAGTTCAAATAAAGCTATTCAATGTTTAGATACAAATTGTGGAAGAATTAGAAAAGGATGGTTGTGTTATGAAATGTCAGAATGTGATGACTATAGGATTTAAAGGAGCATAAATATAATAGGCCCAATTGGAATAGAAATTCTTGGAACCTATAGAGTATAAATATAAGTTTCTGCTCGGCCATCTTAAAGAGATAGAAGAAAATAAGCAGCCCAGACGGTATACATATATATTTTTTCAAATTTAAACAAAATAATATAAACAAGAAAGTGCAATTTAAATAACAAAAATACAAAAAAAAATATAAGAACGAAGATTTAAAGTTATCTATTTGAAATAAACTTATCGAAGAATAAAAGGTAATATAGAGTGTCTTAGCCTAATTAATATTAGTGTGCTGATTAAGTTTATTACTTATAGCAGTTTCGATTCTGTGATAGGAAACTAAGGAAATCCCTGCAATACTTAATCAACATAAGGCAATTAAACTTCTTAGTCCCCCAGAACTGGAGCAGGGCCAGAACAAAATACGGGGACTACAAAATTTTTTTTTGGGAGAAGGCACAAAGCTCAACAACTGCCCAACAAATTATATTTGAATAAATTATTACATCATCAACGGAAAAACCATTCGGAACAGGGAAGTGCTTACTGTTAAGAAAAACAACAGAATAGTCTTTTATCTCTAATTAGTTTGATATCCCTAATATATAAGTCTTATTTAACATCTCTAGTTTAAGTTTGTTAGTTTTAGTTATATTTTTTTTTTATTTTGTTTTTTTTTTTTTGTGTGTTAATACTATTTATTAGGCATCCTTGATCTTCGATAAATACCTTACGTTTCGTACATAACATTTGTTAAACATCTCCCTGATAGTTTTCTCATCGAACCGAGTAGTGAAATTTTGAGCCAGGCTTAAAGTAGCCAGAAAAAAAAATCGTTTAAGTGAGCTCTCTTAGGCTGATAGTAGTGTTGTATAAATGAGTGAATTCCCAAACCAATTGTTGGGGCATAATTAGATGAGGAAACCAATATACATATAAAGGGAATTTATTTGTTTTATAACTTGTAATTTTGTGTCCGTTTTAGTTTGGTATTTGTTGAGGCAGGGAAATATTATTGAGGAATCAGAGTTGCCATTTATTTTTGTAATAGATATAAAAGCTAAATTTGTTTTTTTTTATAGAGTTTTGTATAATTTGTTCAGGTTTTATATCCTAAGCAATAGTTATAATAAATATGTTATGAATTAAGTGAATTAGAAAAAAGAGAAAAATGCTGGAATAATCTCATTTAACAGAGTGGTTTATTAAAGGTAAGTGGTGTGGTAAAGGATTTTGAAGGGATCCCCGTAAATGTTATAGGTATGGGAGATTATGGAAGGGATAGGGCAGAATGGAGTGAACATCTAACTCCACTTCATAGGTGTTTCATTTGATATTAGTGAACAGATTCATAGAACATTTATTGTGACAGTTCTTTGGGCCATGACGAAGGGAGGTTCTCACACCGAGAGTAAGAATCATGTACGTGAGCTGGTCGGCACCTAATTCGTTATGGTGCTTTTGGGGACTCGTAACATGTTTTCGTTTAATACCCAAAAGTGTTTATCGAAATCTATATTTGGCATCAGGGATGGAAAATGAGATTTTGTTTCAGTATCAAAAAATATTTCAGAGGGTACTTTTTGGATCTTAGAGTACTAAAATATTTTTTTTGCTGAAAGTTGTTAATTTTTTAAATACACCTTCACATATTTAGACATTTTTAAATAATTAACAACAGAAGTAGAAAAGGTATTATATATACCGTAGGGTGATCGATTATTCGACATTTTCCAAAAACCGGTTTTCGAGTAGTTGGAATAGTTGACATTTGAAAAAAACCGGTTGATATTTTTCAAATTCAGAGAAAACTGTTTTTTATTATACATAAAAACATCTAGTTTAATTTGAAAAAAAAAAAAATTATGACCCGAACTGATTTTTTAAAATAAACATTATTTCTTAAATGTAAAAAATTGGGAAGAATCATAATCCTAATTTATTCTAAAGTCCCTGTTTAGTAAATTTTCATAGGCATTCCAACACTGCTATAATATTTCAGCGACAAATTAATAATTGTAATTGGAATATAATCTTAAGATTGATAAAATTTTATCCAACAGTTATTCCAATCAATTTTACAAATTAATTTTTTTAATTAATTAGGAAAATCAAAAAAGTTTAACCAAAAGTGCTTTAGAAAAATATACTCTAGTTTCTTGACTAGAATATTTTAAAATTTAGACAGGCTGTATTATTATTTATTTCAAAATTTTATTGAAGTAATCTTTGAATACAAAGCAAATAAAAGTATTCGAAACCGGCTTTTAAAAAGTTAAAAAACCGGGTTATTCGATATTCGAAAAAATCTACATTTAGAAAAAACCGACACTGGTAAATAGTTAAACTGAAAAATTTGATTGATAATAGAATGAAACCATAAAGTGTTATATACCATTGTAAAGCTAATGAAATTACGCGTAATGCTGATGTACTTAAAATTTTTCCGAAAAATTACGACATTTGTAATCATGTTGGTGTTGTATACAATTTGTGTATGTCATTGAAATCGTCTTCCAAGGTCCTTTCATATGAACCAACATTTGGATATGGTTTATTTGTCAAAAAGGTGAAAAAATAACATAAAAACCCTAAAAAGGACCTTTTTATCCTTTGATCCAGCTCACCAAATATTGACGTCAGGACAAAAATTTTGAGAAATGGAATCTTAGAATGAACTAAATTTTCATTTTCGGTGGGAACATCAGCAATTTCCATTTTGGGGCCACCCTAATTTACATATGTGTTATTAAATTAAAATTCGATGTACATAGGTGTTCATTTGTTAAAAAAATCAATAGTCATATCAAATTCTACACATGAGACCATACATAAGACCATCCATGACATGAAACAATAATTTGCTTTAAAGTCCAAATAATTTTCACCAAAAATTTCTCTTATTATCTATGGTTGAATTCTTAATTTCAAAACATATCGTTTTATATTAGATAGAAATTGAGTCCTTCGAGCTTCTATCATTTGGAAATAATTAGTTTTAAAGTCAAATATTTTTTCAAAATTGAAATTTTTGGTAATTTTTTCATATAATATTAACAATGGAATTTAATTAGATTAATATTCATATAATGTCAATCAAGATAAAAATTCGAAATGAGCTGCATTGGTTATTTGCAAAACATACTTCTAAAAAGTGGCTTTTGAAACTAGATTTCAAAACATTCTTAGAATTTCAAATTTGAACTTTTAAAGATACTTTGACCCAATTTTCTCATTGTCTGATTATGTTTTATCATAACGATAAATTGACATTTTACATACAAAAATTATTTTAACCGGCAGTATATCCACCTGGTAAACTATAACCGGAGGTTGAGATATTGGCCTGAGAGTATCAAAAAAAGTACCATCGTACCAAATTTGCCATCCCTGTTTGGCATATTTGTGAGATCTAGAAGATTAAAAAATGTATGTAATGGTGTTAATTAATTATTTATTTGTCTATAAAGAACGTCTTTCTTTTCAAGAAAGAAGAGGCATCATGATGGTCTCCTGGAAGAATGCCCACAAGAGAGTGGCAATTGTATACCTCCCTAGTAGCCTAGGTGGGTGGTGGTCGGTCGGCTAGTGGTGACATGGTATATTATCACCTAGAGGCAATGGAAGGAAGCTGATTGCCGTATTCAGGGGGTATCCTTGAGATACATACTTATTATTATACCATTGATCTTAGCAGAATCACTACCATACACACATAATAGAGCGCGATGTCTGTCAGGTGTGCCTTTCAGTGAAGCTCTTGTTGTCTCCAAACACTATGGTGGCCGAATATTTACAAGAAACAATTGTTAAGCCGTCTTTTATACAAATTTATAGCTTTGTAGAGAATGTCTTCACGGACCTAGAGGATAGAACCTGGCTAGGTATGTAGATGTTGTTTGGGCAAAATATTGGTACTAACCATTGTGGGCTTTAAGTCGACTTTAGATCCCTTATAGTTGTCACACTATACCAAATAAGCATTCTTGCTGGAATTAAAGTTTAAAACAAGTTTAATTCCAGTCAAACATTCAAATTTCAAGTGTTGAAATTCACTTTCATTACACTTTAATTCAATAGAATTCTCCAGTGAAAACGAAACTTGAATTCAAGTCGAACATTAGAATCTTTTTACAGTATAATTCAATGCACGAAATCTATATATGTACATACATACGTACATATATAAAATTCTAACGTTACTGACTGACTGATTCATCATCGCACAGCCTAAACAGTTTTAGCTAAAGAGCTGAAATTTGGACAGGAGGTTGGTCTCCCACCAAACAGATCCACTAAGACGGGATTTTTGGAAATTCGAATGATTAGGGGGTTAAAAATGGTAAAAACGGGTAAATTCGGTAACCTCATATCTCCTAAACTATAAAAGATACAAAAATAGTTTAAAGCTTATCGTCATTCATTTAAAAAATAAGCGGACAGGTGTCTGGTACTTTTTTTCAAATTCGGCTCCTTTGGGGAATAAACGGGTAGAAACTGTAATTTGGTACTTCTTTTGCACCCCATGTATCTTTTAAACCAGAGAACATTCAAAAAATATTTTTTGAATCCTTCATAACTTGACGAACAAATAAAAATATGAATTTAGTACTTTTTGGATATTCGGACGTTTAAGGGGTGAAAATTGTACCTATTTTTGGTACTTTTTATAAAACATTGTTTTTGGTTTATTAACTTATACATATGAATACAAAATAACGGGCTCCCAATACGATGTTGCAACTGGTACTTTTTTGACTTAGAACTTAGAAACATGTAATTAAGCACTTGAGAATCTATAAAAGTGGACTTTTTGGTACTTTTTCGTTCTTCAAAAGGTACTTTTTGAGTTTTCTATTAAATTGAACATAGAAACATGAAATTATGCACGTAGAGCCTGAGTAAATGAGAATCTATAAAATGGCACTTTTTCGTTCTTTGACTGGTACTTTTTGAGCTTGCTACAAAATTTGAACCTCGAAACATGAAATTAAGCACTTAGAGCCTGGAGTAAATGAGAATCTATAAAATGGGAACTTTATCGTACTTCGACTGGTACTTTTTGAGTTTTCCATAAAATTAAACCTAGAAACATGAAAATAAATATGTAGAGCCCGGAGTAAATTATAATCTATAAAAAGGGACTTTTTAGTACTTTTTCGTTCTTTGACTGGTACTTTTTGAATTTTTTATAATATTGAACCTAGAAAAATGAAATTAAGAATGTACAGCCCGGATTAAGTGATAACATTTAAAAGGGGACTTTTTGGTACTTTTTCGTTCTTCGACTGGTACTTTTTGAATTTTTTATAATATTGAACCTAGAAACATGAAATTAGGAATGTACAGCCCGGATTAAGTGATAACATATAAAAGGGGACTATTTGGAACTTTTTCGTCCTTCAACTGGTTCTATTTGAATTTTCTATTATAATGAACCTAAAAACATAAAACTAAGCAATCAGGGACTTGAGTGAATGAAAATTTAAACTGGAGTATTTCTGGTAATTTTTCGTTCTTTAACTGGTACTTTTTGAATTTTCTAAAATATTGAATATATAAACATAAAATTAAAACACGCAGTATCCTAATTGAACGAAAATTTATCTCGCTTACGTCGATTTTGCAAAAAGAGCTCGATATCAATCGAAATCTCTATAGGCCATAATTGACCCTGCCCCCTTCATTAATTGATTTTAACGTTTTTATGTACTTAATAATACCATAATAAAACCAATTTTTGTTGGAACGAAAATATGTAATGCAAATATGTATATGTTCTTGAGAAAATGACTTAAACGCACATAAATGGATTTCAAATGTCGATATCGACGAAAAAAACATTTTTAGGAACCGAAACCTACATTTATGAAAAATAAAGTTATGAGGATCGGTCCGCCAATATAACCCTCTTACAGAAAATCAGTTTATAGCTAATACATCATTCCAAAAGTTATCATTATGATAGAATTATGGTAGAATTAAAAAAAAATACTTTAAATCATATATATTATTGATCCAATTCCACATTTAAGTCCCTAATCCGAAAATAACGGTGACGTTCTTATTAATCTAATGATCTTATTAATCTAATGATCGGACCACTTCCGAAATTTGCTTTTTTACGACATATGATTTGCCGAATATAACTCTTACTTCTTACTTAATTAATCATAAAAAAATTACCGCTAAAATAGGAATAGTCTGCCTTTAGAGTTGCGAGTTTTCATACATTCTAATAATGTTTTCAAAGTGAAACTTTTGGAATATTTTTCAATCTCTTTGTGATCCCTTTAAATGATGTTGTTCTGGAAGAACTTAACATCCATGTAAACATTTTGGGTAATAAATTGGGGGACTACCAATGAGGGGAGCGGAACCTCCCATATGAATTAAATACAAAAATTCGTTTATCTGGGAAACTAATAGAACTAAATTCTTTAAAATTTTGCACGAAGAACTTTAATATTCATCTGAACATTTTGGAGAAAAAAGGGCGGACTTTCATCTGGGGGGCTTGGAGCTCCCATATGAATTAAATAGAAAAATTCGTATATCTGAGAAACTATTAGAGCTAGAATTTCAATTTTTACTGAAGAACATTTAGAGAATAACGGGCGGACTTTCAATGGGGGGCTTGGCACTTCCCATATGAATTAAATACAAAATTTTGTATATCTGGGAAACTATTAGATTATTCGAAATTGCAATAATTTGCGTGGAATCTCCCATATGTAACAAATTGTATATCTGGAAAACCATTGTAGTCAAAGTCGTTAAGTGGGTTTCTTATTTATATTGCTTTTAGGGTAGCACAGCACACTGGGTATAGCTTGTAAATAAACAAATAAAATATCTTTGTTTTTGCGTTATTGAACATTTTCTTAATGCAAAATTTTTTAGAAACTGATTTTCTGCAAGATGTTTTATATGGAAGATAGGCTTAAATATCGGCAGATCCTAGTAAAACTTGGAAAAAGGATTTGTTTTTAATTTTTAAGAATTTTTTATTCATCCCTGCATAATTTCTCACACAACTTTTGAGCTTGCTCTGTTTTGTTGTTATAAACAATATATTTGCTTCCAAAATCCCACTTTCTGATCTCTCGGATTCCGTTTTTATTTAAAATCGTTGAAAAATTAAAAACTAACGTAGTTGAAAACTTAGCCGGCTTACAGTCGATTTTAAGCCGCCGCCGACATATTTAGTGTCAGTCGCCGCCGCCGTTAATATTTGTCGGCGCAGGGCTCTGTAGTTTATGCGAAGAAAAATAAAAAAGGATTTTCATAATCATGGCTGACAGATTAACACAATTACAGGACACTGTTAATATGGTTCGTATAAAACATGCTCTATTGTATACAATAAATTTTAATTGTTTTTCTAAAAACATTTAAGCAAGCTGAACATTTCTGTAATGCAATCGGTATAATACAACAACTTCTTATCCAAGCAAATTCCCAAATTTTGACCGTACCGGATCCCAAACTCCAGTACAGAATCAACAACAAGAAGATTATGCCCAACTATTTGCTCAGCTTATATCACGTTGCGCCAAAGATATTGATACCCTAATCGAGTCATTACCAAATGAGGACAGCTCGACGGAATTACAAAATCAAAGTCTTAAAAGATTGGAATTGGAAAACCAGGAAGCTGCCGAACGTTTGGAAGAAATCGCTTTAAAAGGCGAGTTGCTTTTGGGCAAAATTCAGAATGCCTTAGAAGATATAGCCCAAGCTCAACTAGATATGCAAATAACCATGAAAAATAACAATAGTTAAAATTGTCTCATTAGCTGCTTATGTTTATGTATTTACATTTGGTCAAATATTTTTTAAATTTATTTTAAATAATGCTTGTTATAGGTATAAAACGAATATTTCTTCGAATTACATGGAAATTGCAAAAAATGCTGCTGAATATCTATGTTTCATTTTGTAAGTCGATACGAACATTTTTCAGATGGAAATACACAAAATTTTTATGACAAAAATAGCTCTAAAGTAGTTCCCCTTTTACAAAATTTACATGTGTACGTTTAAGACAAAGAATATGTATCGTCACCTGAATGCAAAAAAGGCGTAACAACCAAAAAAATGTAAAATCGACTTTTTGATGGCATCAAAATACATGTTACTGCAAATTTTAGAACCTTATTGTCAAAAATACCAACTTTGGTATAAATTAAGCGTTCTGATCCAGCTGATTTTAAAACTTTTGTTTATACCACATAATAGTACCTGTTCTTGTGACTTCAACAAAGGAAAAAAAATTATCCGCTCTATTAAGGTTCGGGAGTTATGGGGCCTCCAAAGGTCTGATATAATTGGATATATCTCGATCACTGATAAACGGATATGGTCGATATGGGTATCATTGGAAAGGTCTTTGACAGAGCTTTCCACTGATGTGTTAGATAGACGAATATTATTAACCCATTGTGAACCAGGGTGAATTTTTTTGTTTTTCTTTGGCTTTTTTTAAAAGTACCGTTATCTCTAAATCATATCGATATAACGGTACCTCATCTTAGGTGAATGTTTGTAGACTACATTGGAGCTTTCCTTTGATATAGGTTTGAAAGCTATAACCCATGAAATGCAGGAGTTATTTAAGTTTAAAATTTTATATTTTCATAAATTTTGATTTTTATCATATGTAATTATAAATCTAAACTGCATATTATTTGATATTATAATTAATGTATATTGTAACTTATATCATTAACCCATTGAGAACCAGGGTGAATTTTTTTGTTTTTTCATTTGTCTTTTTTAAAAAAGTACCGTTATCTCTAAAACATATCGATATAACGGTACCTCAATCTTACGTGAATGTTCGTAGACAACATTTGGGGCTTTCCTTTGATATATGTTTGAAAGCTATAACCCATGAAATGCAGGTGTTATTTAAGTTTAAAAAGTTTATATTTTCGTAAATTTTGATTTTTATCATATGTAATTATAAATCTAACTGCATATTATTTGATATTATAATTAATGTATATTGTTAACTTATATCATTAACCCATTGAGAACCAGGGTGAATTTTTTTGTTTTTTCATTTGTCTTTTTTTAAAAAAGTACCGTTATCTCTAAAACATATCGATATAACGGTACCCCTCATCTTACGTGAATGTTCGTAGACAACCATTGGGGCTTTCCTTTGATATATGTTTGAAAGCTATAACCCATGAAATGCAGGTGTTATTTAAGTTTAAAAAGTTTATATTTTCGTAAATTTTGATTTTTATCATATGTTATTATAAATCTCAAGTGCTTATTTTTGATATGGTCAATATGGGTATCAGTGGATAGGTCTCTGAAATACCTTTCAATTGATGTATATTGTAACTTATATCAACCCATTGAGAGCCAGGGGCAATTTGTATATTTTTTTATTTTTTTTTACAAAAGTACCGTTATTTCAAAAATAAATCGATATTAAGGTACTTTATGTCACATGAAATCTTATAGACAACATTATAAGCTTTCATATGTTGTATGTTTGAAATACCTAACTCATGAAATGCAGAAGTTAGATAACTTTAAAATTAATATTTTAAAAAAATTTTGGTTTTTATGGAATGCATTTGTATAGATTGACTACTTATTATTCGATATGGATATCAATGCAATGGTATTGAAATATCTTTTGATTGATATATAATATGGTCCAATCATTTATATCAACCTATTAACAGCCAGTGCCTGTGTTTTGTAACTTTCGAATCGACAAAAAAATAGAAAAATTTATAATCGTCTTGTTTAAAACTGGGTGAACACACGTAATTCAAATATATTTTGGTTAATTGTAATGTGTTCAGTTTAAAAATTATTTGAATCACGCAACTACATACATACATACATGCATACATACATACATAAAAAATCGCGCGATTTTTTAAAATAATTTTTCCCCTGCGGCGGTATGCTGCTTTTTTCACAATTCAATCATTTCACCAAAAGTGAAAAATTATTTCAAAAAAATCGCGCGATTTTTTTTAAATAATTTTTCGCCGGCGGCGCTAGGCTGCTTTTTTCACAATTCAATCATTTCACCTGCGGCGCTATATTACTTTTTCCCACAATTCAATCATTTCACCAAAATATGAAAAATTATTTCAAAAAAATCGCGCGATTTTTTTGAAATAATTTTTCGCCTGCGGCGCTTTTCAGCTATTTCATTTCCAAATCAATAATTTCACCAAAAATAAAAATTATTTCAAAAAAAAAAATAATACAACTTTTTACCAATTTCAAATCATTAATCAAAAAGTGAAATATTTTTATTCAATTATTTCATCAAAAAGTGAAACAACTTACCCACTTCTTTGTTTAATAATTTATTTCACCTAGATATGCTTTCTTTCTAAATTAACTTAAAAAACTTCTAAACTTCATGAGATACAAATTTAAAACGTATATTATAAAAAAGCCCCAAATATTTTACAATTTCATGTTAAATGAGGTACCCTTACATCGATTTATTTTTGAGATAACGGTACTTTTGTAAAAACAATAAAAGAAATTTATATACAAATTGTCGCTGGCTCTCAATGGGTTAATGATATAAGTTACAATATACATCAATTGAAAGGTATATCAGAGACCTATCCACTGATACCCATATTGACCATATCAAAAATATGCAGTTTAGATTTATAATTACATATGATAAAAATCAAAATTTATGAAAATATAAAATTTTAAACTTAAATAACTCCTGCATTTCATGGGTTATAGCTTTCAAACCTATATCAAAGGAAAGCCCCAAATGTTGTCTACAAACATTCACGTAAGATGAGGTACCGTTATATCGATATGTTTTAGAGATAACGGTACTTTTTTAAAAAAAGTCAAAGGAAAAAACAAAAAAATTCACCCTGGTTCTCAATGGGTTAATAATATTTGTCATCTAACACATCAGTGGAAAGCTCTGTCAAAGACCTTTCCAATGATACCCATATCGACCATATCCGTTTATCAGTGATCGAGATATATCCAATTATATATCAGACCTTTGGAGGCCCATAACTCCCGGATCCTAATAGACCGGATAACTTTTTTTCCATTACTGCACTCAGAAAGTAAAATGCTACAAGGCAATAAAAAAAAACTCTAAAAATCAGCTGGATTAGAACACTTAATTTGTTCCCCAACTTTATTGAAATGAAATTCAAAAGGGCGTAACAAATTAGTCATTTCCACAAGTAAGAAAGTCCTAAAAAACAACATAATAGATAATATCTGTCGATACAGTTACATACATATTTAAACATATTTAACGATGGATATACAATACTTTTAATAAAATGTTATTTTTATAACAAATATAGCTTTAATTTTATTTAGTTTCTTCGTCTCTCCTGTAAAATTTTAAAAAGTGTTGTTACCCTTATGCATTTCAGGTGACGGTATGTATATCCTTTTTTTTTTTTTGGTTCTGCTGATGGTTGGCGAGTAGATACTCAAATTGCCAGGTTGTCACACTGTAAGAAATTCATAGCTCAATTTTACCTTCATCCATAAACGATATTAACAGTTTGAAAATTTCAAGATTCCTGGTCTTGAGCAATACTTGCAAATTGCCATAAGATTTGAAAATGGAAAATTTATTCCTAATGTTGTTAAATTTTGAACATTCAAAAATCAAATGTTGAGGAGTC